AGAATTACAGTCGGACCTAAGACAGAAGAACATCCTTTAAGAACATGAGACCCTCCGCCGGCCAAAACACACAGAACATCCAAGGGTATCCTCCCCAGGATGCAAAAGACTATCCAACAAACACGAGGAACATTGAGGTACCCTCTCCGAACCGACCTTGACATTGAGGTACCCTCTCCGAACCGACCTTGATCTCAAACTTCGGTCCGATCTTATGAATGTGTTCTTGGGGCTCCCGGCGCGTCTTGCGGCCCTCGTGGGGGCCTTGTGGCGGTCCTGGAAATACTCTGGGCGGCCGAAACGGTATCTGCGGCACTCGCTGGGCCTCGAGACGAACTCACGCCGGACGCCACCAACTTCCGCAGGGCTCTGCCAGCAGTCCAGGCGGAAGTCCCCCCGCCCCCCCCACCCAGCCCCAGGGTGATGACAAAACGGGAGCCTCTCCGCAAAAATCGGGGAAAACGATGCTGAGGCGGCACTGGCCGTGGACGTGGACGGCGCTGTTTGAAACGACGTCGGAGAGGAAGACAGGAAGACACGGCGGATGGCTGGGGAAACCAAAAAGCTACCGATACCACAACTCTCCGGACCTCTCCCAGGGTGCGTTCTGACCAAAATTTCGAGGCGAATCCAGCCGTAGCGACGAGGGCCTCCAAGGAGGCCCAAAAAATGGAAAACGGCCGAGGGGTAGCGGTATGGGTACCTTTTCTTCCTCCGGATGGCCTGTCACTTCCGTGTGCTGGTCGAGTCCCGCGCTTGCTGGGTGCGTCGATCCAGCTCAGTGCTTGTGGGCCTTGAGCTCGCACTTCGGCGCCTCGCGTCGTCGCCGACTTCGCCGTCGCCGTCGCCGTCGTCGTCGTCGGGCCCCGCCGGGGGCAGACGCGCGCTCGAGGCGACGGCCTCTCGGTGCAAGACATGCGGTTTTCTCAGGGCCTGCGAGCGAACGAGCAGACCCCTACCAGGCCAACAGACACTCCTCGTTCTCCTCCTCCTCCTCCTCCTCCTCCTCCTCCTCCTCCTCCTCCTCCTCCTCGTCCTCCTCCTCCTCCTCCTCCTCCTCCTCCTCCTCCTCCTCCTCCTCCTCCTCCTCCTCCTCCTCCTCCTACCCGAGATGGCCAAATCAGGCCGACTGCCGTCTGGTTCTCTGTTGCTCGGCGGCGGCTTGCCCCGACCAGCTGGCATGCCTTCTGGGGCCGTCGTGGGGCAATCCTAAGCCGTCCTGCGGCCCTCCCGGGACACCTTGGAGGACAGTGGGGACACTGAGGGGCCTCTCGAGCAGAGGGATAGAGCCTGGAGCAGCCTCTGGGGAGGCCACTGTGGACACTTGGAAAACACTAGGGACACTGAGAGGCCCCATAGAGCCGAGGGATAGAGCCTGGAGCAGCCTCAGGGGAGGCCCCTGGGGCGGGAGGCGCCACTCGGTGTACACTGGATGTCCCAGATGTGCTGCGGCCCCCGGCCCCTGGGGCCGAGCGCCCGCACACGAGAAATTATGCAGACAGGGGGCCTGTCTGCTCGCCCCCTCCTCCTCCTTATCCTCCTCCTCCTCCTCCTCCTCCTCCTCCTCCTCCTCCTCCTCCTCCTCCTCCTCCTACTCCTCCTCCTCTTCCTCTTCCTCTTCTTCCTCCTCCTCCGCCTCCGCCTCCGCCTCCTCCTCCTCCTCCTCCTCCTCCTCCTCCTGCTCCTCCTCCTCATCCTCCTCATTCTCCTCATCCTCCTCTCCTCCTCATCCACATCCTCCTCCTCCTCCTCTCCTCCTCCTCCTCCTCCTCCTCCTCCTCCTCCTCCTCCTCCTCCTCCTCCCCCTCCCCCTCCTCCTCCTCCTCCTCCTCCTCCCCTCCTCTCCTCCTCCTTCCTCCTCCTCCTCCTCCTCCTCCTCCTCCTCCTCCTCCTCCTCCTCCTCCTCCCTCGTCCTCCTCCTCCTCCTCCTCCTCCTCCTCCTCCTCGAAGAAGAAGAAGAAGGAGCTTGGAGGAGGGTAAATTCCAACATCGTTGATGACTCTTCGTTTTACTCTGGTCCTCCCCTGCTCCTCCTCCTGCTTCCTCCTCCTCCTCCTCCTACCTCCTCCTCCTCCTCCTGCTCCTCCACCTCCCTCCTCCTCCTCCCCTCCTCTTCTCCTCCTCCTCCTCTTCCTCCTCCTCCTCCTCCGCCTCCGCCTCCGCCTCCGCCTCCGCCTCCACCTCCGCCGCCTCAGCCTCAGCCTCCGCTTTCTCATCCTCCTCCTTCTCCTCCTCCTCCCCTCCGCCTCCTCCCATCTCATCCCCTCCTCATCTCCTCCTCCTCTCCTCTCCTCCGCCTCCTCCTCCTCCCTCCTCCTCCTCCTCCTCCTCCTCCTTCCTCCTCCTCCTCCTCCTCCTCCTCCTCCTCTCCCTCCTCCTCCTCCTCATCCTCCTCCTCCTCCTCCTCCTCCTCCTCCTCCTCCTCCTCCTCCTCCTCCTCCTCTGGATTCGATGTGTGCAGGCTTCTGCTGGGACGTTTCTCGCTTGGAGGCGGTGATCCCTGGCATGCGCGCCCGGAGCGCAATCGGAGTAGCGCATCAGGCTGCAGCAGAGCCTAAGGCAAATGCCGATGAGCACATCCAGGCGCAAGGAGATAGCAGGGGAGGGAGGGAGGGAGGGAGGGAGGGGGGAGGGAAAGGGGCTGAGGAAGAGAAGGAGCCTGCGGAGTTGCCAAGGGAAGGACCGTTGGAGGAGACCATGAGAGGAGCCAGCTTAAGGAGCGAGTGAGGGGGCCAGAGGGAGGCCCGAGAGGGGCGGAAAGTAAGGGAATAGCAGGCGGGGGCTGGGCAGGCAGGCAAGGCAGCCGAACAGGCCACTGAGGCTGCGCAAATCTAGAACATCGACTGGCACAATCGGCCCTAGACGCTGCACAGATGCGAGCGAATTGTCTTCGGCTACGGCATGGTGGTAGCCAGAGTCTTGTGGCGGGTGGCCGCCAGATGGCCCACAGCGCAATCGTCCTGTGTCGCCACATAATTCTCTACCAGGCAGGTGGCGCACATGAGTCTGCCTGGCTCCAGCCTGGCACGCCTCTGAATCGACAAGTGGCCCTCGAGTAGGCCACTGGTGCCCTCTTGACAGTCACTCATCCATGTTGTACAGCAGGAGCAAATCGAAAATAGACCTTTCGCGGTCCGGGTAAAGCTCCCCCGACACCGAGCCCACTCGTTGTCTGCCTCGCTGTGTGAAGGCACTGCCACTTTGATTGCCCTACCACACACAGGAAAGCTGGCAACTAGTGGGGAGAGTGGCGATGGAGGCCCTGCTTGAACCACGGGGGACCTGTTGGCACTGGGGTCCTCCTTCATCGCAGCCTGCACTTGGTCCCAGAGTGACGACGCGAGGTGCTTCGTGTACGTGATCATCACGTCTTTGAAGCTCTTCTTGCCGCAGTCCCCTGGCTCTCGAAGCACACACGTCTCGTTCGGAGCCATGTAGGCGTAATCCGGCATGTAGAAGTCCGGGCCCCTGGGCCCCTGTTTTACACAGGTGGCGAGGCACATCTCACACGACTCCTCTGCGTGCACCAGGCACTGGTTGCCCGGGTTCTCGCGGAAGTCCGAGTAGATGTAGTAGTCCAGCGGGAGGCAGGGCTCGTCCGCGCAGTCCTGCGCCTCGTCCTGCCCCTCGCTCCACGTCTGGGCCGCCATCGAGTGGGCGATCCACATCGCCAGCATGCCGAGCTGGGAATCACCCCCCCAGTCGAGGCTGGACAGCCACGGCCCCGTCCCCAATGAGTGGACGAGCGTGCGCATCGCCGGACGGACTTTCTCGGGATCCGCCGCGGTGCCCCTGCCCCTTTTGAGGCGTGGCAGAGTACCAAGTGCTGCGTGGTAGAGTTTCTGTAATTCCTCTATGGGCAGCCCCCTCGTCACATGTACTCGTGTGCATCGCCCCCGATGCGCCTTGGTACCTCGATGCCTTTTTGGAGCTCTCCGAGGCGTGCAAGACTCAAAATCTGGCTTCGAAGACGACCCAAGCAGGCCACCGAGGCCGTAAAGATGGCCCAAGATGCCTCCGAGACTTCCCAAAATGGGCCCCGAGACGATCCAAGATGGCCTCGAGACGGCCCGAGAGGCCCCCGAGGCACCGCGAGAAGACTGCAAGACGACCCAGGCAGAGGTCGGTCCCAAGAGAGGAGGAGGGAAGAAGAAGAAGAAGAAAGGATGAAGGAGAAGAAGGAAGAAGAAGAAGAAAGGATGAAGAAGAAGAAGGAAGAAGGAAGAAGAAGAAGAAGAAGAGAAGAAGAAGAAGAAGGCGACGACGAACATGAGGAGACGAGGCGAGGCGAGGCACCGACACGCGTCCGGAAAGACAGCCTGCGAGAGCACGGCGGTGGGGCCGCAGCCCCGGCTACGCGTGGGGCCCCTGGTGCGATCCGTGAGCGGGGGAGTCTCGCGGAGGAGGGCGACGACGACGACGACGACGACGACGACGACGACGACGACGGTGACGACGACGACGACGACGACGGCGACGACGACGACGGCGACGACGACGACGACGACGACGACGACGACGACGACGACGACGACGACGACGACGGCGACGACGACGACGGCGACGACGACGACGAAAGGCAAAGCACGAAACCATGCGGCGAAAGACCTGCACTCCGGAAGAGGCTGGCCGAACGCCAGCGCATGTGTGTGTGTCGACCTGCAGAAGGGGAACAGGAGAGAGGGGAGAGGGGGAGGAACGAGACAGAACAGAAAGAGAGACACACCGAGACGACGCGGGAGAGCGTGTCACAAACTACAGCTGTCCCAGGGATCGAGACAGATGGTGTCACATGTTACGGCTCCCTGCGCGCTCCTCGAACAATCGCCACCCAGAGTGCTGGGCTGGCACGGTGGCGGGACTTGCCGCAGGCAGCTGGATAGGACGTGAGTGCCATGGCGTTGTACCAAGTCTGTACCACCTTGTCGAAGTTCTGCTCGTCACGCTGCTTGACATTGCTGTTCCTCCGCGCCAAGGACATTTCCATGGCTTTGTCCTCCTCATCCCTCCCACTGATGTTCAGGAAATCTAGGCTTGCCCCAATGTACGCGAGCAGGGGGCGCGACGAGCTCATTTTGTAGTTCGTCCCATTGAGAATCACCGTCTCCAAGTCGCTGTTCATCGACAGGTTCGTGTCTAGCTCCATCCGAGAGTCGAACCTCCCCGTCCCGTCGAGGCCAACCATGATCTTTCGCGCGCCCAGCAGCCAGAACGGCTTGTCGGACATGGGCCCCCTGTCTCCGTCGGAGAGAAATAGCAGGAGTGCCGCCGCCTCGGGCATGTACAGGGGAACGAAGAGTAGCATAAACATAAAAACTCAAAGGTCCGCGCGGATTTCGTGGATCCGCGCTGGACCCCCCTCCCTGGCGCGCAGAGCGCGCCACGCACGGCGCCGGAGGCGCCGCCAGGGCGGTCTGGCGCCGATCCGAGAAATCCGCGCGGACCTCCTAGTTTTTATGTTTATGTTACTCTTCGTTCCCCTGATGTACGCCAGGAGGGGATCGCGCTCTGAGCGGCTGCCGCACGGCAGCGACTCGCCGAAGGCGGTGGCGAGCACGGCCTGGTACCGGAGGCCTCCGGTCAAAAAGTCGCGGCCAGGGCCGCCCAGCGTCGGTGGAATGCAGCCCTCCTCGGGAGGCAGGAGGCACACGACCCCTCAAAATAACTACGTATCCATCGGTCGTAAGAAGTAGGTAGAAACATGAAGTAGGAAGGCGTTGAAAGTAGATTAAATATCCATCCGGCCCAGACAAGGAAAGCAGAAGGAAACCAGTCGACCCTTGAAGTAGGAATGCGCCAAAAATAGACTGGGATCTGGGAATCCAAAAAGATCTACTTTCAACGACCGATGGGCATCCTGTTGAAGAGCCCAACCATATGCAGGCGCGAGTAACACAAGGCAAGTGGGACGAAGGAAGGGAGCTCCCCAGAATCAGGGCCAAAAAGCGTCTGAGGAGTGTGCCGAAATGGGGGCGCTTCGCCATGCGGGCGCTGGCACTGGCGCCATTTGGTGAAACTCCCCGTAGGGCCACGAGAGGTGCGAGGGGTGCGCTACCACGGGGCGGTGCCGCCATGCGGGCCCTGCCACTGGGGCGTGAGCCTCCCTGTGGGACCACGAAACGTGCGACGCGTGCGCCGACATCGAGACGGCGCCGCCACGCGAACCTTGCCACTGGGGCCTGCGGTGGAGCGCCTTGTGGGGCCACGCAACGTGTTCGGGGCCACGAAGCGTGTGATGGGTGTGCCGAAATGGGGCGGCGGCGCCATGCGAACCCTGGTGTTTGAGCATTAGCTGGAGTTCCTCATGGGGCCACGAAACGCGTGAGGTGTGTGTGTGTGTGTGCCGAAACGAAATGGCGGAGAGCAGGGGCGGGGATGGGAGGAGGGAGGAACTGGAGGAAGGGAAGGAAGGAGAGGAGACGCGGGGCGCTGTCTCTTCAAAACGAGGACCCAACAACACAGCTTTCGGTTGGTACAGGACAGGCACCAACAAAAAAACAGCCAGGCTGAACGGAGGGCAATGAAGATTTCTGTTCTGACCCTTACTGTGTGATGCTTGGTTTGGTCAATCCCTGGCTTTCACATTGCAAAACTCCACTCTGAAGCCTGCCTCGGTAGTCGCTTCCCTCCGCGGCCAGTCCCCCTCCTTAGCCCACGCCCTGGTGCACATGATTTTTTCGCAACCCGATCTAGATTCACCGATTTGCGCAAGCGCCGAATCCGCGACCAATACAATGGTGTTTGTGTTGCGTTCCCCCTCTTCTGCGACCGCCAGCTCCTGAGGAACGTCCTCCTCTCCCTTCGAATATATCGGGTCGGCCAGGTCGGTTGCGCCGTCGTCGTAGCGGCACACGCGTAGGCCCGCGCCCTCCAGGGGAGCGTAACTCGCGATCTGCTTCAACTTTGTGACTTTCTCTTCTACCTTCTCGGCCACGACCACCAGCAGCAGTGGACCATGGCCGACGCCTTTGAACGGAAGCAGAAAATGTCACTCGTTCGCCCTTGTACATGGGGTTTTCACAAGGGATGTCGGTCATTAGCGGCAAGACTCAGCTGCGAAAGATTCGGCGTTGGGGCCGCGATCCAGGCCCCACGGGCTGCGTGGTGTTACGGGCCCCGCGTCTCCACGGTCCCTTGACGGGGGGGGGGCTATACGTGCGCGCAAAAGTGACAACATACCAAAACCAGGTTGCACTGGTGCAGAAACCCTGGAGCCTTTGGGTGGGCACGCACTGAAGCAACAAAAAGGAACCACCGTGGGCCCCAAACAATGTGTTTGTAGCTACCTGTGTTGTGCAATATATGTGGTGTTTATGTTGTGCAATAAATCATGTGCGATCTATGTGATGCAACTTATGCTGTGAAAAATGTAGTGTGCACTAAATGTGCTGCAATCTTTCTTGCAAACATCCCACCCACCCACCCGCAACTTGGTTTGCAGAACCCATGCGGTGGCGATTGCGATGGGTGTTTGGCGTTAGCTGGTCCATCTCTGCAGCCGCGCCCACCCAAGCGCGAGCGAGCGCGCGCGCGCAGCGGCCAGCTAGTTTGGCCCGACCGACGCGGCCGCGGTGGCGCTGACCGCTTGGCACACCCCAGCTGGCACTTCACTGCGAGTCGGTGACTTGGGCAGGCGCGGTATCATGGCAACGTCGACAACGGTGATAGTAGCGGTACTGGTGACGATGTTGGCAACGACGACGGCGCGGCCACTGCGGGCGCCGATACTGATCACGCCGTCGAAGATGACGACGTCCTCGCGTCGGTGATGAAGGTCTTGGAAGGAGTTCGACATGCGCGCGCGGTCGACGCGCGAGAGTGGTCCGCAGGGTTTTATTTAACACGGGTCGTCTCCCCAAGCACGCGCGCAAGGGCGTGCGAATGATGTCGGTATGCTGCGCCAGAGGCCCGTTTGGTAGAATTCTATTGAAAAAAATGCTGAACAACAAACCTGGTTTTCTCATGAATGCGCAAGAGCGCGAGCGCACGCTTTTCTCTTAACTGATGTTACGAAACCATATGCGCTTGTATGTTGTTTAGACACTCGGTTATAAAATCGCTACGAAACCAAAGGTTTTTGACGGATTCCGGCATGCGCGCGCGACGACGCGCGCGCACACTTCGCCCTATTTGCTACAAAGGATTCTCGGGACGGCACGCGCGCAAGGGCGACATGCACGCGCGAAGCCCGTTTGGTAGCATGTGTTGAACATGTTGACCAACCAATGGTTATTCTGGAGAATTCGCAGAACCGCACGCAAGCTTTTTGAAAATCGGTGTTGCGCAACCAAATGTTTTGAGATGTGTTTTTGGCACTCGATTTTGGAATCCGTACGAAACCGAAGGATTGTTGAAGGATTTCGGCATGCGCGCGCGACGACGCGCGCATGCGCATTTCGTCTCATTTGTTGCCAACGGTTCTTGAAAACGAATGATTTTGACAAACGAGTGCGCGCGCGCATAGAATTTCTTTTGCAGAAGATGACGGGGGGGATCGATACCCGCTGGGCTGGGATGGTACGAGTTCATATTTAGGATGGGCGATGGGGCAGAATCATACGTAATTGCGGCACGAAAAAAGGGAACCGATGATCCCGGGAGAGGGGGGATAGAGTGTACTCTGTCTTAGAAGAGAGAATCTGTGTGGTTCAAGTTATATGGTGCAGTCTATTTTGTGCAATCCATGGTAGGAAAACTTGGAATCGTCAACCCCACTGCTCGCGCAATCATCCAATCCACCCACCCGCAATTTTGTTTGCTAAGCCCATGCTGCGGCGATTGCGATGAGTGCTTGGCGTTGGCTGGCGCATCTCTGTGGCTAGCTCGCACACGCTCGCGCGCACAGCGGCCAGCTAGTTTGGCGCGGCCAGCGCGGCCGCGGTGGCGCTGACAGCTGAGCACTTCCCAGCAGGCACTTTAATGCGAGTCGGTGACTTGGGCGGGTGCGGTACCATGGAGACGTCGACAGTGGTAGACACGACAATGACAATAGCGATGACGGTGGCGATGATGACGATGATGACGGCAATGCCAATGACGGCGCCGAGGCTGATCACGCTGCTGACGATGACGGTGTGCTCGCGTCCGTGACGAAGATTTCGGAATGAGTTCGACATGCGCGCGGCCGACGCGCGCAACTGGTCCGCATGGTTTGAGCTGACACAGGAATCGTGCCCCCCCAGCACGCGCGCAAGCGCGTCTAAATGCTTTCGACATGCGGCGCGAAAGGCCCGTTTCGTTTGGTCCAATATGATGAAAAATCTGGAAAGCCGATGGCTTTCTCAAGAATTCGCAAGAGCGCGAGCGCAGTCTTTTTGTTGAAAAATCCGGCGCGCGAGCGCAGTCTTTTTGTTGAAAAATCCGGCTGCGAAACCTGTGTTCAATATATATTCGGGACATGCTATTTTCAAATGCTTACGAAGCCTCATGATGTTGAAAGATTCTGGAATGTGTGCGCGACGACGTGCGCGTGCGCACCTGCTCCCACGTTTTTACAATAGGCTCTTGCGACAGCATGCGCGCAAGGGCGTCCGAATGATATCGACACGCGCGCACGAGAAGCACGTTTGGCAGCATGTGAGATTTAAGGAAAAAGGTTGGGAACCACTGGCTTTCTTAAGAAGTCACAAGAGCGCGAGCGAAAGTTGTTTTGAAAATTCCTGTCGCGATTCCATTGGATGTTGCTATATTTCTGAGATTTTGACATCCTTACGATACATAAAAATGTTATAAAGATGTCGGCATGCACGCGAGACGCGGGCGTGTGCTTTGTTCTGTTTTTGCCGTGGACTCTTGAAAACTAAAGATCTGTGTCAAACGAATGTGCGGCATTGTGTTAAGGGATGATTCGGGGGTCGATAACCGGACTGCCTGGGATGGTACGAATACATGTTTTTGATGGACGAGCATTCATATACGAAAAACAAAACGAATAGGTGTACCGTTTAAATCCAGGGAGGTTAGATTCGAATACCCTTGTAGGAGAATGTATGTTCTGCAATTCAATGGAAGTACAATATACGTTGTGCAATCAATGATGCATATTGTGCAATTGATTTTATCTATGACTTGACACATCCCATGCTCTTGCAAACATCCCACCCACCCACCCGCAACTTGGTTTGCAAAACCTCTTGAGACCGTGACGGTAGGTACCAAATGGCATTTGGCAACGACACCGGCGCCGACGACGACGACAGCGACGTCGACGTCGACGACGACGACGCCGACGACGACGACGACGACGACGACGACTACGACGAAGCCACCGACGACGTCTCCGACGACTTCGGCAACGACGACAACGACGACGACGACGACGACGACAACAACGACGACGACGACGACACCGACAACGGCGACGACGCCGACGACGACGACGACGATGACGACGCCGACGACGACGACGACGACGACGCCAACGACGACGACGACGTCGACGACGCGACGACGACGACGACGACGACGACGACGACGACGACGACGACGGCGACGACGACGACGCCGAAGTCAACGACGACGCCGACGACGACGATGCCGCCAACGAAGACGACCACGACGACGAGGGAGGAGGGAGGACGACGACGGCGACAACGACGACAACGACGAGGGAGGGCGGACGACGACGACGCGAACGACGAAGAAGGAGGGAGGACGGCGACGCCGACGACGACCACGACGAAGGAGGAGGGAAGACGACGACGACGACTACGACAACGACGACGACGGCGACGAAATAGAAGGGACGACGACGAGACGCCGACGACAGACGACGACGACGACGAGGGAGGAGGAGGAAGGACGACCACGGCGACAACGACGACGGAAACGACCACGACGCCAAAGAGGACGACGACGACGACGAGGAAAGACAGAGGACGACGACGGCGACGACGACGACGACGAGGGAGGAGGGAGGACGACGACGACGACGACCACGACGCAAGAAGGCACGCGCTAGCTTTTGTTGAAAATCCGTGTTCCGAAACCTTGTGTTTGTGTATACTCTTTGGACACACGATTTTGAAATCCTTCCGAAACCGCAGGTTTTTGAAGAATTTCGGCATGCGCGCGCGACGACGCGCGCGTGCACACTTCGTCCCATTTTTTGCAAGGGATTCTTGAAAACTCGAGATCTGTGATAAACGAGTGCGCGCGCATAGTATGTTTTGCAGAGGGTGGCGGGGGGGGCGATACCGGCCTGGCTGGGACAGTACGAATTCATACTTAGGATGGACGAGCGTGCAGAATCAGATGTACATTGCAATACGAAATGGTGTACCGTTAACTCCGGAGGGGGGCAGAGTCAACTCTTCTTTTAGAAAAAGAATTTCTGTGGTGCAACATGGTGGTGCAGAAAATGTGGACTGATGTACGTGGTGCATATCTACGTTGGATGAAATATGTGGCGCAGTCTATGTTGTGAACGACCAAAAAATACCCCGTAGGCGCGTTTTCTGTCTCGTGCAACATATGTGGTGTAATCCACGGCGGCGACGGGGGGGTGGCGACGGCCGGCACGGAACCGCAAAACCGCCCACACGGCTCAGGCGACGGGCGGCGACGAGGCGACGACTACTACTACTACTACTACTACTACTACAACGACTACTACTACTACTACTACTACAACTACTACTACTACTACTACTACTACTACTACTACTACTACTACTACTACTACTACTACTACTACTACTACTACTACTACTACTACTACTACTACTACTACTACTACTACTACTACTACTACTACTACTACTACTACTACTACTACTACTACTACTACTACTACTACTACTACTACTACTACTACTACTACTACTACTACTACTACTACTACTACTACTACTACTACTACTACTACTACTACTACTACTACTAACTGCTGCTGCTGCTGCTGCTACTACTACTACT